GTGTACAAAGGTCAGGGACGTAATCAACGCATGCTGATGACACGCGCTTACTAGGCATTCCTCGTTGAAAAGCAATAATTGCAATGCTTTATCCCCAGCACGACAGAGTTTAACAAGATTACCCAATTCTTTCGAACAAGGAAAAGAACTCGTTGGCTCTGTCAGTGTAGCGCGCGTGCGGCCCAGAACATCTAAGGGCATCACAGACCTGTTATTGCCTCAAACTTCCATCAACTTGAGTTGATAGTCTCTCTAAGAAGCCGGCGACCAACCAAAGTTAGCCTGGCTATTTAGCAGAGTAAGGTCTCGCTCGTTATCGCAATTAAGCAGACAAGTCACCCCACGAACTAAGAACGGCCATGCACCACCACCTGAAAAATCAAGAAAGAGCTCTCAATCTGTCAATCCTTATTTCATCTGGACCTGGTGAGTTTCCCCGTGTTGAGTCAAATTAAGCCGCAGGCTCCACGCCTGGTGGTGACCTTCCGTCAATTTCTTTAAGTTTCAGCCTTGCGACCATAATCCCCCCAGAACCCAAAAACTTTGATTTCTCGTAAGGTGCCGAGCGAGTCAGAAAAAGAACATCGCCCGATCCCTAGTCGGCATAGTTTACGGTTAAGACTACGACGGTATCTGATCGTCTTCGATCCCCTAACTTTCGTTCACTGATTAATGAAAACATCCTTGGCAAATGCTTTCGCAGTAGTTAGTCTTCAGTAAATCCAAGAATTTCACCTCTGACAACTGAATACTGATGCCCCCGACTGTTCCTGTTAATCATTGCGGCGTCTCTAGAAACCAACAAAATAGAAACGCACGCCCTATTTTATTATTCCATGCTAACGTATTCGAGCAAAGGCCTGCTTTGAACACTCTAATTTTTTCAAAGTAAAAGTCCTGATTCCCCAGCACGCCCAGTGAAGGGCATGAGGTTCTTCAGAAGGAAGGCCCGGCCGGACGAGTGCACGCGGTGAGGCGGACCCGCCAGCCAGGCCCAAGTTTCAACTACGAGCTTTTTAACTGCAACAACTTTAATATACGCTATTGGAGCTGGAATTACCGCGGCTGCTGGCACCAGACTTGCCCTCCAATTGTTCCTCGTTAAGAGGTTTAAATTGTACTCATTCCAATTACAAGACCCAAAAGAGCCCTGTATCAGTATTTATTGTCACTACCTCCCCGTGTCGGGATTGGGTAATTTGCGCGCCTGCTGCCTTCCTTGGATGTGGTAGCCGTTTCTCAGGCTCCCTCTCCGGAATCGAACCCTAATTCCCCGTTACCCGTTGAAACCATGGTAAGCCAATACCTTACCATCGAAAGTTGATAGGGCAGAAATTTGAATGAACCGTCGCCAGCGCAAGGCTATGCGATCCGTAAAGTTATCATGAATCACCAAAAAGCCCCGAAGGGCATTGGTTTTTTATCTAATAAACACATCCCTTCCGAAGTCGGGATTTTCAGCATGTATTAGCTCTAGAATTACCACGGTTATCCAAGTAGTAAGGTATTATCAAATAAACGATAACTGATTTAATGAGCCATTCGCAGTTTCACGGTATAATTGCTTATACTTAGACATGCATGGCTTAATCTTTGAGACAAGCATATGACTACTGGCAGAATCAACCAGGTAACAATCGTTCACCAACAGCGCCGAAGCGCAGTGGCTGAGCCCCCGAAGGAGCGGAATTGTACCAAGAAGGGGATCGCCGAAGCAATCCCAATCGCCTACTACGAATGCGCGCAGGGCGCAATCGCTGCAGACGACCTATTCATTTGCCCCCACTGAGTTCCCCAAGACGTGGTCCGCTGCGAAGCCTGATCGGCGTTGCCGCCAATAACAAGCCCACAGCATATACGTCTCAAGAGGAGAAAGCCCACGTCGCCTCACGCACACGAAGCGCGGATAGGCGGCGCGACTGTCCCCAAAGATCTGGTGAAAT